TGATGTTCAATTGCACTGAAGGTTTCTTGACGATGTTTCACCCACCGTGTGGTGTTACGTCACAGATAAACCCGGTAGGCGAGTGGAGGTTTATTAGGAAACCTGAAGGTGAGTGGTAGGTGAGGTGGACGTAGGCGAGTTGAGTAGGTGAGGTGGACGTAGGTGAGTTGAGGTGAGGTGGACGTAGGTGAGTTGAGTAGGTGAGTTGAGTAGTAGGTGAGGTGGACGTAGGTGAGCTGAGTAGGTGAGGTGAACGTAGGTGAGTTTAGTAGTAGGTGAGGTGAACGTAGGTGAGTTTAGTAGTAGGTGAGGTGAACGTAGGTGAGTTTAGTAGTAGGTGAGGTGAACGTAGGTGAGTTTAGTAGTAGGTGAGGTGAACGTAGGTGAGTTTAGTAGTAGGTGAGGTGAACGTAGGTGAGTTGAGTAGTAGGTGAGGTGGACGTAGGTGAGTTGAATAGTAGGTGAGGTGGACGTAGGTGAGCCGAGTAGTAGGCGAGTTTAGTAAGTGAGGTGAGATGAAGATCAGGTAATATTGCTTGCTGAACCTCCCTCAAGTTTACTGGATACAACTGATAATTTGGTTTAGAAAGACACGTAAGCAAACACTAACATATTTATTAGAAAACGTTTCGGTCCTGGGACCTTGATCACTTCTAACATACAGAGGTAGAAAGACATTATATATATAGGCGGAGAGTGAGATGTGACGCACGTGACCTGAGGAATGTCATAAGAACATAAGAATGGAAGAACACTGTAGAAGGCCTACTGGCCCATGCGAGGCAGGTCCTTATCAAAACAACCTCTACCTATGATGAGGACGGGTAGACGATGAAATCATGTGACTCCTGTGTTGTTGGGTTGGTGCTGCTTAAGTATCATGTATGTCAATGTTTTTGAAATTTTGTAATTTCCAGTGTTGCGTTCTATAGTGTCGGTGACGGCGATTAGTGAGGCTTCTAGGCACCGTCGGCGTCTGAGGTCTGGTTCGGTGAGAACGAGTTGTGCCTCGTTCCAGTTCATCAAATGCCCCGTGGAGTCTCTGTGGAGGACACAGGCGTACCTTACATCGTCTCTGTTAGAGGCATTTCGATGCTCATTCAGGCGGACTGCAAGATCTCTGCCTGTCTCGCCTACATATTTCCTGGGACAGAACCCACAAGGGATAGTGTAGACGCCTGCTGTAGAAGTTAGAGGTGTGGGGCTGCGTTTCGTAGTGAGGTCTTTGATAGATGATGTGTTTATGGTGGAAACGTTGATGTTACTCATAGCAAGTGCCCGGCGAGTATTCGTGGCAACATCGCCACATGGGAGTACTATGAACTGTTTAGGGGGCTGTTCCATGGGCGGTTTGTTGAGGATAGCTTGTGCCTTGAGTCTGCAATCTCGGATGAAGAAAGATGGGAACTGAAGACGTGTAAAGGCTTGTGTTATGTAAGTGCATTCTTCTTCTAGAAAGCAAGGGCTGGAGATGCGAAGAGCTCTCAAGAAGAAGCCAATGAGGACTCCTCTCTTAGTGCGGGTGTCTTGGTGTGAATAGAAGTGTATAAGATCGTCCTTGTTGGTAGGTTTTCTATACACTTTGAAGAGAAGTTTGTCACTCTCGGGAGATCTGCACAGTAGAACGTCGAGGAAAGGAAGTTTGCCATCATTTTCGAGTTCAAGTGTAAACTTTATTGATGGTTCAACTGCATTGATCTTGTTGAGAAGGGCCTGGATATTGAGACGTCTCGGATAGAAAACCAATACATCATCAACGTATCTTAGCCAGGTAACGGTGTTGGGAATGAGGGTGCTGAATTTCTCTGTCTCCAGGTTTTCCATGAAGAGGTTGGCAAGCACAGCACTGAGCGGGCTGCCCATTGCCATCCCAAAGCATTGTTTGTAACAGTTGTCCTGATACTTGAAGAAGTTGAAATTAACACAAAGTTCCACTAGATTGATGAAATCTAGAAGAGGTAAAGGGAGGTCGTGGTTTTCAGTGAGCCTCTGTCTCAGAATGTTGATTGCAGCGTCAGTAGGAACGTTGGTAAAGAGGGCTGTGACATCGAAGGAAGCCGTGCTTTTGTTTTTGACATTCAGGTTGGAAATTCGGGAGAGAAGGTCACCTGAGTGCTTGAGGTGGGCTTGACTGATGGTGCCCAGAAGCGCTGAAAGGTATTTGGCAAGGTGGCCGGCTAGTCTATGTGGTGCGCTCCCTATGCCCGAAGTGATAGGCCGTAGTGGGATGCCAGGTTTGTGTGTCTTAGGAAGGCCATACAGGCGTGCTGGTTTCGGTTGACCTGGTAAAAGTTTAAGTAGTTTCTTGCCTTGTTCTGATTTTCGTAAGATGCTACTAGCCTTTTGAAGGAAAGTCTGGGTACTTTGAAGTAGCACTGATTCCGATACAGGCTGGTATGTGTTGGCATCGTTGAGAAGATTTAAGACTTTATTGTTGTAGTCGACAGTGTTGAGTAACACCACACCACCTCCTTTGTCAGCGGTTGTAATGACGATATCATCGTTGTTGGCCAGGTTCCTGAGTGCTTGGATTCAATCCCGGCCGGGGGTATGGTTTATTTGCAATCGTGTCATTACGATTTCTTGAGTCATGCTTGGATGTATCTTCTGGGAATGACCGGTCTTGAAGGCTCAGTAGCTGCAGCAGTGATAATTCCTTGAACAAAGCCCTTTTGAAACTCGGAGTCTCCAAAAGGTTGGTTCTTGGTTACCATATCCACCAGATTATGTTTCTTGTTGACGCCAGTAGTAAACTTGAGCCCTAGGCTGAGGGCTTCTGTCTCGGTGACGGTTAGTGTATAGGAAGATAAGTTATTTATGATTTCTGGTCGTCCCATTTCGCTCCATTTGCTGTGGGAGCACAGGTCTTGTAGTTTTCGTGATAGCTTCAATTTTTGTTGGATGTTGGCAGTGGTAACTTGGCTGAGTATATATTCTGCAGTCCTTCTGTCAGGAGTAGGAAGTGAAGCACGAATCTGAGCGGCACGTAATGAGGCCTCCTTCTGAGCATGTCGCAGTTCATCAGAGCTTTCTCTAAGGTAGGCGTAAACAGCAGGAGAGAAAGGGTGTCTAGATGTGGTCAGTTGTCGAGGAGTGGACCGTGGTACCACCATCTCAGCAAGACAGTCTTTCTACCTCTGTATGTTAGAAGTGATCAAGGTCCCAGGACCGAAACGTTTTCTAATAAATATGTTATAGTGTTTGCTTACGTGTCTTTCTAAACCAACTTGTCGGTATTTATTACCAAGGTTTATACCACAACTGATAATAAACAGGAGAAACAGCTATCATAATTCATGTCCATAATGCTGGTGTGATGACAGTTGACTGTGTGTAGTGAACTGACAGTCTACTGTGTGTAGTGAACTGACAGTTGACTGTGTGTAGTGAGCTGACAGTTGACTGTGTGTAGTGAACTGACAGTTGACTGTGTGTAGTGAACTGACAGTTGACTGTGTGTAGTGAACTGACAGTTACTGTGGAGTGGCTGACATCGACTGTGTGTAGTGACTGACAGTTGACTGTGTGTAGTGAACTGACAGTTGACTGTGTGTAGTGAACTGACAGTTGACTGTGTGTAGTGAACTGACAGTTGACTGTGTGTAGTGAACTGACAGTTGACTGTGTGTGTGAGCGACAGTCGACTGTGTGTAGTGAACTGACAGTTGACTGTGTGTAGTGAACTGACAGTTGACTGTGTGTAGTGAACTGACAGTTGACTGTGTGTAGTGAGCTGACAGTCGACTGTGTGTAGTGAGCTGACAGTTGACTGTGTGTAGTGAACTGACAGTTGACTGTGTGTAGTGAACTGACAGTTGACTGTGTGTAGTGAGCTGACAGTTGACTGTGTGTAGTGAACTGACAGTTGACTGTGTGTAGTGAACTGACAGTTGACTGTGTGTAGTGAACTGACAGTTGACTGTGTGTAGTGAACTGACAGTCGACTATGTGTAGTGAACTGACAGTCTACTGTGTGTAGTGAGCTGACAGTTGACTGTGTGTAGTGAACTGACAGTCGACTGTGTGTAGTGAACTGACAGTTGACTGTGTGTAGTGAACTGACAGTTGACTGTGTGTAGTGAGCTGACAGTCGACTGTGTGTAGTGAACTGACAGTTGACTGTGTGTAGTGAACTGACAGTTGACTGTGTGTAGTGAACTGACAGTTGACTGTGTGTAGTGAACTGACAGTTGACTCTTCACAGATTTTTGGAGCGTGTTCACCTGAGGCTTCACTGTGTACCAAGGCATCCCATAGGTGCCCCTGTAGATCAAGAAGTATGAACACTTGATGACTGTACCCATTGTCACCTGCTGTGGGTCATGTTAACTTCAGATGGTGAACATCTGGATTATCGCACATTAATAATATTTTCCAGGTATCCAGCGTCATCTGGTGATTGTTTACGTTCCAGTGTTTGTTTTAATGCGATGTTTTACTTAGTGTATGTGGATGCTGGTGTGTCTATGTTGGTCCCCCTCAACACTGAATGTCCACAGAAACTATTGAGGTAATTTTCTCTCATTAGAGATTTCCTTTCTTCCATTTTATTTTTATTTACATTTCTTCCAAGACCCAGTGCTCTTCAAATTATATGATTCCTTCTCTCTCTCTTATATTTTTCTTTAAGTTTGAAGTTTCTTTTAAGCCTTGCCTTCTCACTGTCTTCTCTCTCTCCTTTCTATCTCCCCCCTATTTATGTCCTATCTAATTAATTTCTCTATATCCTTTTTTCTGTCTTCCTCCCTCTCAATTTTCATTTCTGTTTCCCTTCCCTTCTCTTCCTACCTTGCCACTCTTCCTTCTGAATTTCTCTTGCTATCTTTTAACACCTTCTACGAGTCCCATCCTGCGTGATGGAAAATAATAGGGAAAATATAGCTACCTTTTGGAATAGGGTAGCAACACACTGCTGATGTAATTAGTTATGCTAAACTGAAAGAAAAACCTGCTTTCCATGTCAGTGGTGTTGAGTAACGTGATGTTGTGTTTCATTTCAGTGGTGTTGCTGGCGTGCACCACGGTCCAGGGTGAGGAGTGCAGCAGTGAGTAGAGAGTGCATGTGAGAGCTTCACCAGCTCCGCCCAGTGCAACCTCCCAGCACCACCCCGTCAAAGGGCAACCTCAACGCCACGTCAAGGGGTAAAGGGGCAAAGGGTGGACGCGCCCTTAAGAAGGGGTGGAGGGAACCGCGAGCAGTAACGTTCTGAACGTTCCAGTAAGATTTTAAAGGGATGTATAGTTGTTCCCGGGTGGTTCGAGTTACCCTCTATCCTTCAGGAGATGAGACAACACCATCTCTCTGTCCCTCCCTCCAGCATCGCTCCATCTGTCCTTCCCTCCTACATCCCAGCCTCCCTCCCTTTCTCACTCAATGATCCATATTGTAGTACAGAAAACAAAGTTAGTCCTTCACAAATTTACCTCTTTCACCACCACCTACACTAGCCTAGACCCACCATCTACACCACTTTTTCACACCAGACCCCCAACACCACACCTAGACCCCCATCATCACCCCTTTCACACCTAGACCCATCAACCACCCAACAACTAAACCATCACCAAACACCCATCATCACCAACTTCAAAACCTAGATTCCCATCGCCACCACCCAAACCTACCAGCATCACCTGCACCCACCAAAATCACCACCTAACACCACCCAACCACACCACTTACACCCCACCATCACCCATACACACACCTAGACCCATCATCACCACCACCTACACCCACCCATCACCTACACCCACCACCACCCTACACCCAACCACAGACACCTAAACCCCACCAACACACCCCTAAACCCACCACACCCAACACCCACCATCAACAACTACAAACCACCCCCATCACCCACCACAACCTACACCACACCTCCCCCCAAAACCCACAACACCAACCACCAATACACTCACCTACATCCCCCCATCTACAACCAGCATCACCTACCACACACCTAACCATCATCACCACCTACCAACCTAGACATATCACCACCTACAAAACGCACCCAGACCCCTCACATGCACCCACCATCATCAAATACACCCATCACCAAATACACCCACCATCACCCTCTACACACCTACACCCACATCACCATCTACACATACCTACCCATACACCACCCACACCCACCAATCACCTACACCCACCACCATCACCACCTACACCCACATCACACCACACACCATCCCACCTACACACCATCACCTACACCCACCATAAACACCTACAACCCCAAACCCTTATCACCACCTACACACCCACCTACCCCACCATCACACTTTCACCACACAAACCACCCAACCCACCATCACCCCCCCTCCACTCCCCATCCCACCACACCCATCACCACCTACACCCACCATCACCACCTACACCACCTCACCTACATCCACCACGCCCCCTACACCCATCCCTACATCCATCATCACCTACACCCACCATCACCCCTACACCAAACACCTACACCCACCATCACACCTACATCCAACCATCACCACCACACCCACCATACCACCACCCACCTCATCACCACCCTACACCCATCACCACCTACACCACATCCACATACACCCACCATCACCACCTACATCCCCATCACCTACAACCACCACCCCCACCTACCCACCACCAATCAACCACCACCCCACCCCATCACCACCTACAACCCATCCCCCACCTACACCCATCAACCTAAAACCCACCACCAACACCACCATCACCACCTACATTTCCCCCCATCACACACCTACACCCACCATCACACCCACATCCACCCATCACCACCTACATCCACCATCACACCACCTACACCCCATCACCACCTACATCCACCATCATCACCACCTACACCACCACATCACCACCACACCACCATCATCACCACCTAAAATCCCCCCATCACCACCACATCCCCATCACCCACCTACATCCACCATCACCACCACCACCCCCCATCATCACCACCTACACCACCATCATCACCACCTACAAACCACCATCTCACCTACACCCCCCATCATCACCACCTACATCCACCATCACCCACCACATCCACCATCATCACCTACATCCCCCCATCATCACCACCTACATCCACCATCACCACCATCCACCCCTCACCAAACCCTCATCACCACCCATCCACCATCACCCCCTACAATCCACCATCACACCACCTACATCCCCATCATCACCACCTACATCCACCATCATCACCCCCTACATCCATCATCATCACCACCTACATCCACCTCATCACCACCTACATCCACCATCACCACCATCTACATCCACCACTCACACACTACATCCACCATCATCACCTACATCCACCACACCACCTACATTCCACCATCTCACCACCTACATCACGATCACTCACCACCTACCAATCCACCACATCCACACATCACCACCTACATCCACCACATCCACCACCACACCTACATCCACCATCATCACCCCTACATCCCCTCATCACCACCTACATCCACCATCATCACCACCTACATCCACGATCATCACCACCTACATCCACCATCATCACCACCTACATCCACCATCATCCACCACCTACATCCACCATCATCACCACCTACATCCACCATCATCACCACCTACATCCACCATCATCACCACCTACATCCACCATCACTCCACCTAATCCACCATCATCACCACCTACATCCACGATCATCACCACCTACATCCACCATCATCACCACCTACATCCACCATCATCACCACCTACATCCACCATCATCACCACCTACATCCACCATCATCACCACCTACATCCACCATCACCACCTACATCCACCATCATCACCACCTACATCCACCATCACCACCTACATCCACCATCATCAATCACCACCTACATCCACCATCATCACCACCTACATCCACCATCATCACCTACGTAGATACAGTATCACACAACGACAAAAGAAAGAAAACAGATGGCGGAATAAATGGAAACTACAAGACGATAAGAGACTACAGTAAGCTTACTTATAAACCACTTCTATACAATGTGATTTTTGTAAATTCGGATTTTTGTAAATTCGGATTTTTGTAAATTCGAATTTTTGTAAATTCGAATTTTTGTAAATTCGAATTTTTGTAAATTCGAATTTTTGTAAATTCGAATTTTTGTAAATTCGAATTTTTGTAAATTCGAATTTTTGTAAATTCGAATTTTTGTAAATTCGAATTTTTGTAAAATTCGAATTTTGTAAATTCGAATTTTGTTTTAAACGATTTTTTGTAAATTCGAATTTTTTGTAAAATTCGAATTTTTTGTAAATTCGAATTTTTTTGTAAATTCGAATTTTTGTAAATTCGAATTTTTGTAAATTCGAATTTTTGTAAATGTGGATTTTTGTAAATGTGGATTTTTGTAAATACGGTTTTTTGTAAATGCGGTTTTTTGTAAATGCGGTTTTTTGTAAATGCGGTTTTTTGTAAATGCGGTTTTTTGTATATGGGGATTTTTGTAAATGGGAATTTTTGTCAATGCATATTTTTGTAAATGAGGTTAAAAACTTAAAACTGCATTTACAAAAGAAATTACAGTATACAAAGGATCTTTATAAGCGAGTTTACTGTACTAGAAGTGTCAGTGATTCAGTTGTATAAAACTATTTCTGAAGACAGAGAAAATAATCTCATTGAGAGTAATTGTTATACTTATAAAGCTCTAAATCCGCATGAGTCATGTTCTGTTGAATATGTTGATCATGTTCTGTTGAATATGTTGATCATGTTCTGTTGAATATGTTGATCATGTTCTGTTGAATATGTTGATCATGTTCTGTGGAATATATTGATCATGTTCTGTGGAATATGTTGATCATGTTCTGTGGAATATGTTGATCATGTTCTGTGGAATATGTTGATCATGTTCTGTGGAATATGTTGATCATGTTCTGTGGAATATGTTGATCATGTTCTGTGGAATATGTTGATCATGTTCTGTTGAATATGTTGATCATGTTCTGTGGAATATGTTGATCATGTTCTGTTGAATATATTGATCATGTTCTGTGGAATATGTTGATCATGTTCTGTGGAATATGTTGATCATGTTCTGTTGAATATGTTGATCATATTCCGTTCAATATGCTAATCATGTTATACTTAATACGTTATATTGATCACACTGACCATATTCTGTCGATCATGATCTGACAATCATTTTGATCATGTTCTTTTGAAAATAACATTTTGTTAAATATGACTTGGAATGACGAACATGAACGACCAGCTAACAAAAGTTCATTATAACAATTTCCTACATCATAAAGATATAAAATATAATGATCAGATTCATATAAATTGCGCAGATATGTTTAAATTATTAAAACAGAGTACAGATATATAAAATTCTATACCGATATATAAATCGTAGTGACCTACTGTTAAGTAAGTTATAGAAGAGTGGATCTCTTGGACCCGTTATCTATCAGGACTACGGTTTGGGTCCCGCTCTGCTTACTCAGATACACATACACACACACACACACACACACACACACACACACACACACACACACACACACACACACACACACACACACACACACACGGACTGCAAGAAGGCTTTTGACACAGTTCCACACAAGAGATTAGTGCAAAAACTGGAGGACCAAGCAGGGATAACAGGGAAGGCACTACAATGGATCAGGGAATACTTGTCAGGAAGACAGCAGCGAGTAATGGTACGTGGCGAGGTGTCAGAGTGGGCACCTGTGACCAGCGGGGTCCCACAGGGGTCAGTCCTAGGACCAGTGCTGTTTCTGGTATTTGTGAACGACATGACGGAAGGAATAAACTCCGAGGTGTCCCTGTTTGCAGATGACGTGAAGTTGATGAGAAGAGTTCATTCGATCGAAGACCAGGCAGAACTACAAAGGGATCTGGACAGGCTGCAGACCTGGTCCAGCAACTGGCTCCTGGAGTTCAATCCCACCAAGTGCAAAGTCATGAGCATTGGGGAAGGGCAAAGAAGAC